TGTCTTCTCATTCTTAAAAAATTGTTTTCAGAATAATTACTAGCTTCCAAGGTTAGCGGGTTTTAAAACTAAATAAAACCATTTTATTGATTAACTATTCTATCTGTGGTGCAGGGAAACTCGTGATGTGTTCTTTACACAAATCAAATTGGTTTATATGGAAATAATTTTCTTTTTCTTTTAAAACCAAGGCGCGAAGAGAATGTGTGTTTTTTTTTTTTTTTAAATCTCTGATTGGTTGTTTAATTGTAGTGTCTTCTCTCATTGGTCTTGTTTTCTCAATCAAACATTCAGATGGTATTTGTTAATTATTTTCAGATTTTCTTCACTTCAAATGAAAACTTTCATATTTTTGAACATGGTTCAGTAAAATTGTCATTTGCCAAAATTATACTTGGTTTGGTTTATTTTACGGCATATCAACCTCAATGGGTTATTTAATTCTGACAAGATTTTTATCGCTGCTAATATTTTTTCTTCAAAAATCGATTGCTGGTAATAATTTTTTCAAAAAATATATAGCTGTTTGTATTACCAGTAATATTTTTTTTAATGTATTGCTGGTAATAATTTTTTTTTCTACAAAGTATTTCTGATATTAAAACCTATTTTTACAATTTCATATTATTTTGAGCCAAGTTTAGGGGTTAACTATTTGCCCATAGCTGGGACCCTAACAGGGTAAGACGATAAACTACGTCCCACCTATGTTGTTGGACGTAGTTTATCGTCTTACCCAGGACACATAATTATAGTTGATTTATACCGAAAAAAATAATAAAAAAAAAATAAAATAAAAGAAAGGCATCGAGAAAATATGGATTAAATCGGATACGTTAAATGTCATGGTGGTGAACAAAGACTATGAAAATAGATACTGTTGGTGTTTTTTGACAGTTCAGAAACACTAAACGAAAGGTTGTATGTGTGTGTGTGTGTGTGTGTGATGATAGGCGGTATGCTGCCAGCCTTAATTTGATAGTTGTTTTTAATTTATCATGAAAAGGCTTGAAGAATTTAACACTCGTGGGGCCTGTCAAAGACAAGAGAAGCAGAGTAAAGCATCGAGTCGTGTATTTGAAAATGTGCAAATTGATAGAGGAACAAGGACCAGCGAAAGATAAATGCTTTGTGTGTATATATATATATAAAATAAATATATAAAAAAATATAGTATATATATATATATATATAATCGACTCTCCCGTCCCAGTCTGTCCTGCTATTTTACCCATAGCTGGAGGGAGAGGAAGAGGATTCATACCTTTCCCAAGGGTATTAGCACGTAAGTGAATGTAATGGATTCGACTGGAATCCCAGCTGCTATCCATTACTCCACCGTGCCTCCTCATATATATATATATATATATATATATATATATATGACGTAATAGAACACATCCTCCTGGCCTCAGTTTAAACTGACACATTTTATCCATACATTGCTACCAAATTGTCACAGTATGTGGATGAAAGGTGCTTACGCATTTTCTTGATTTCACATATTCGAACATATTTCAATGAAATATTTTGTTAATTTTTCTCTATTTTCTTCTATCGTCTTATTGTTTGTTTTACCATAGTTCTGTCGTTTGAAGAGGTTCTTGTGATTGTGAGAAGATTTTGCCCTTCGGGTCACAGGTGAAAGGGATTGAGCACACTCTTATTCTGAAACGAGCTTGTTTTCCCTCTTTCAAGGTCAGACGGAAAATGAAGGAGGAAATAGCACCGGGTAAGTTTCATGAATAATAAACAATGGAATATGAACTAGGAAAAGAATCGGTTTTAGAAGTCGAAGTATTGACACAGACTAGCTGGATATCAAAGACAGACATGTGGTCGATGAGGGAGCTATATATGACTTTCGTCTTTTGCGCACGCTCACTCATTGTCGCGCTACAGATAGGTACGGAGACAGAGAACACAGGTAGGTACGGAGACAGAGAACACAGGTAGGTACGGAGACAGAGAACACAGGTAGGTACGGAGACAGAGAACACAGGTAGGTACGGAGACAGAGAACACAGGTAGGTACGGAGACAGAGAACACAGGTAGGTACGGAGACAGAGAACACAGGTGGGTACGGGACAGGAACACAGGTGGAGACAGAGAACACAGGTAGGTACGGAGACAGAGAACACAGGTAGGTAGAAATTGTCCAATATTCAATGCCATAAATAAGGACGTTTATTATGTTGCAATACATCACTCTTGCCTTTGTTTCGATGGGCATTTTTTATATCTCTTTATACATTTACCCTAATTTTCTGAAGACGTCTTTCGCTATTCCTAATCAACTCCGGATTTCTGTGTCATATTTTCCGTCGCCTGTTAAAGCACTACCCAGACAGTTTAATTTCTCCACCCGCTTGATTTTGATGTACCCAATAACGAAGCTTTAAATATTGGCTTTCTGTTTTGTTGACAACCTTACAGTCTGTTTTCTTATAGTAAATAGTCCTTTCTTCTTGCTTTCCTTTATTATGTTGGCTAAGACTTCCTTCAGTTATGCTTGGAAGTCTGCTTGTTTTTATACACAGCGTCATCAGCACAATATAAGAGTCACAAGAAGAATGTTAGTGTTGACAATATAAAAAAATGCGCGCTAAAATAGCAGTTTTCACAATAAAATCAAACCGACTTTTTAAAGGATAATAGAAAAAACAAAAACAAAAACGCATCCAATGCCATCTAAGGACACAGAATTAACATTCGGACATTTTATTTCAACAAAGAAGTTATTAATTCTGGAAAATCCATATGAATAGGAGACGTCCTCTTTCCATATAGAAGTCCAAGTTGGACATTTTGATTTGTTGTAATGGTAAGCAAGCATATCTCGCTTGATCAATTACTGACTGCGGGCTCCAAACTTACTACGATTAGTTAATCAAGTTGACAGTGAGGTTATAAATTTAACGCTGTATGTCTGTGTGTGTGGGTCTGTTTTTGACGTTACAAGTATGAAAAGTTACGCAACGGATAGCTAAACTCAGAAACTGGCTTTGTAGGCCAGCAAAGGTTTGAAAAGAGTGAAAGTAACAGAAAACAGGATGAAATTTTGAAATGTAGCCTACAAAATGGCGTATAAAAAGTAAATGGAAGATAGCGGATGTCAGAAGACTGCAATGATCAAATGGAAAAGAAAGTGGCGCTTGAAAACAAATAAAATGTTTAAAAAAAAGTTACTTTTGGGATTTCGACTGAAAAACGGAACTTGAGATTAATATGAAAGAGGAAATGGAAGAAAATGGAAAAATAAGAAAAGAGAAAAGAAAAGAGAAAAAAAAATGACAAAGAAAATGGCTTGTAGGGTGGGAAAAGAAAATAGGAAAAGATTATATGGTGGTAAGAGGAATATTCAGTGGAGGTAAAAAAAGAAAATTAAAATCATAAAAAAATACGGGAATGAAATGAGAAAAATGCAAATAAAACGAAAAAGCGAAAGGTAATATTTATTTTCTTATAAATATTTATATAGAGAAAGTCATACAATAAAATTCTAAAACGTGTAAAAATAGCTACAAAAAAGATAAAGGAACAGTAAGAAAATAAAAATGTAATTTTAAAAGTGTTGGTGTTAAGATAAAAGTTAAGAGTAGATTCAGTGAAAATGTGAAAAGGAAAAAGGGAAATTTGGAGATAGAGAAATTAAACGATAGTAGCCGGGGGGAAGAGAATATGTAAGAATGGGTAGAAATTGAGCGAAAATAATTGACGTGCAAAAGAGAAAGTTAGGAAAGGTAAGAAAACATGAATAGAGGAAGGGGATAAGGGCGAAGAAGAGGAAAGATAAAGGAAAAAGGGGCGGAGAGGAGAAAGGATAAAGGAAAAAGAGGCGGAGAGGAGAAAGGATAATGATAAAAGAGGCGGAGAGGGAAAGGATAAAGGAAAAAAAAGGGGCGGAGGGAAAGGATAAAATGAAAAAGAGGCGGAGAGGGGGAAAGATAATGATAAAGAGGCGGAGAGGGGGAAAGATAATGATAAAGAGGCGGAGAGGGGGAAAGATAATGATAAAAAGAGGCGGAGAGGGGAAAGATAATGAAAAAAAAAAAAAGGCGGAGAGGGGAAAGATAATGAAAAAAAAAAAGGCGGAGAGGGAAAAGATAATGAAAAAAAGGCGGAGAGGGGAAAGGTAATGAAAAAAAAAAGGGAGGGGAAAGGTAATGAAAAAGGGAAGGGGAAAGGTAATGAAAAAGAGGCGGAGAGGGGAAAGATAAAGGAAAAAGAGGCGAAAAAGGGGAAAGATAAAGGAAAAAGAACCGAAGGCGAAAAAATAAAGAAAGAGACGAAGGGAAAGAAAAAAGAAAAAGATGAGGAGAAAACGAAAAAGTGAGCAGAAAAGAGAGAAGAAAAAAAAAGAGAGAAAAGCAAAACGCGAGTGGGAAAGTAATTAAGAAAATGAGAGGTGAAAAGAAAAATATTTTTTTTAAAAATCATAAATCGATCAGAAAAAGGTAGATAAATCAATATAGTAGAATAGCCAGGATTAGAAATTATTAATAGAACAAATATAGAGAAAGCGAAAAAAAAAAAGCAATAACAAAAATAGACAAAACAACGCATCAAAGAAATAAAAAAAAAACAGAGAAATAATAATAAAAAGGTATAAAACAGTCTAAGACAATGAAAAATGAAATTATTGGAAAAATGTTAAAAACCGTAGAACGCAAAGTAAACGTTTATTTAAAAAAAAGACGTTGAGGGTAAGTGAAATGTTGATTTTTATCTGCGAAAAAAAAAAAAAAAATAAAAAAAAAGGTTTATTTCTTTTATGATATTTTACGGGGTTTTCATTATATATATATATATATATATAAAATTGCTGTTTGATTTTTCAATTATTCTTTAGAATTGGTTTGAACTGTTGTTTGATCGCGTCAAGTCATGGCTTACTTCATTGATTATAGATTGGAAATATATAACCAACTGTATTGGGAGATTTTTTTAAATTTTTTTTTTACGTGAAAGGGTGTAGCCGGGTTAAGTAAAGGGTAAAATGCAACTTGAAAAATTGCTTCCTCTCATTTCTACAACATTTGTAAGATTTTCATTGACTCTTAATTTTTTCTTAGGAATCGAATTTTGCTCCTTTTTCTAAGATTCTTTCAATGCCTTTCCTTTTTTTTTCTTAGAGCTGAGACTTCCAATTCTATTTGCAGCCCATCTTTTTTTTCAGATTTTCATCTCTTCGACAGATTTGGAGTTGATTTTTTCGTTTTGTTTATATATATATATTTATATATATATATATATATATATATATATATATATATATATATACATACATACATACATACATACACATTGTTACATTAGAACATGTAAATATCCACCACAAAAAAAAAAAGTTGTACATTTTGTTTCAACGTTAAAATCAAATGTTTCTTCAGGTGGCTAACGTTGAAACAAAATGTACAATCTTGTAGTGAATATTTATTTACATGTTCTAATGGAACAATGTATAATAAATATTTATTGCTGTACTTTTGTACTCAGCCCTGTTTTAAATTAATATTTTGAACGTTGAAATTTTATTCTTCGTTTTACATTTGTTTTATATATATATATATATATATATATATATATATATATATATATATATATATATATAAATGTTTCAAGAAGAAACGAATGATTTATACTTTATATTAATAAAGAAGAAGTAGAAGAAGAAGAAAAATGAATGGTTTATACGTTACATTAATAAAAAGGAGAAAAGATCACGCTCATCATAAAGAAGAAAGGAATTGTCTCTAACAAAAATTAATATAAAGAATATAATGAAAAAACTAACAGAAACCATGATAACATTTGGACCCAAAAGAAGACCGAATTGGCAATTAGAAATATTAAAACTAAAAGAGCGAAATTAAATAAATAAAATACAATAATGACCCATGAAAGAAAATGGCGGACGCTTTTTGATTTGTACTCATTGGCATGGCGACAAGGGAGTGATGGCAGGACGCCAACGTAATTAACGCATAAGTTTTTGAAGATCGAAGAAGGATGGAAAGTAAAAAATCGGAAGAGAGTTCCACAAGCGAGAATTGCAAGAGAAGAATGCGTTAACATAGAACTTACGGTTGCATCTAGTTATTTTTGCTGTAAAATTCTGAGAACCTTATTCCCAATTTAGCACTACCCAATTCCAGGTACCATAGAGGAAAGTTCATAAGAACGATTTACCATGAAAATATTCATAGAAAAAGGCGCAGGTGGGAAAGTGACTGGTATAATTCTTCCTTCAATTTTATTTGATCTCTTATTTACACCCTCGTTTTCCACCCTTTTCAGTCAACCTCTTTATTCTCCCTCTCTTTACTCTCTGTTTCATCTCTTTCTCTACCTATTCTTTTCTCTATAGCTTTCTCTCTCTTTCACAATCTATTTTATTTCTGTCGATTCAGCTTTCTTTCTTTTTCTTCCACTCTGTTTGATTTTTGATTCTTTCTTTATCATCCCCACCCTCCCACATCATCTTATTCTTTCTATCTCTCTTCTCCTGTCAATCCCTGATTTTTAGTCAGTTTATTTCTTTGCTTATATCTTTTCTTTTGTCTTTTCATTGCCTTTCACTTTCATCTTCTCTCTCTCGTCTCTCTTATTTTTCTCTCACTCTCGGCTTTTACTTCCAGCTTGTGTTTCTTTTGCCTTTTCATTCCCTTCCATCCTTTTCCGTGGAAAGTATTCAGTTGGTGCATAATTATCAGGAGTTTTTCTAGACGAGTTATTTGTTAATGATTGTTTTTTTTTTTTTTAATAAAAATATTATTTTATTTTCAGCTTATAAAAGTGCGTGTTGATAATCATACGCTCCGGAATAATCATTTAAAAATGTTATTATTGAATTGTTATGTTTCTTTTTTCATAATATTGTTTAAACAAAACGCCTGATAATTATGCACCAACCGAATATTTGCAAGATGGTTTAAATCTATTATTTTTTTTTTCGTATTATCTTATGTTTTAGCTTATGACTTTCTAATCTTTCCTTTAGATTTTCTTTTACTCGATAGACCCGTGAAAATCACACTGTTTTCCTATTTTCATTTTATGATGAATCCTAATTCTTCAGTTAATGATTGAACAAGTTCATGGCGAGTTTTACGACGATAAAATATCTGTAGAAATTCCCCTATCACAACCTTAAAGTTTTTGCTTAACACCTTAAACAAAATATTGCAACAAAAATCATAAATATGAAAGCTGGTCGTTATTTTAAGAAGTGGGTACAAACAGAAAGATTTGAAATTGGTAACTTTTCCACAAACAGCCGTTAAACATTTTTACATACCATCCCTTCTTTCATTCATTTTCTCACTGAAACCAAATACCGTCTCTGATATGCGTTTTGTTTTCCCACGCTATCAAAACGGAATATTCCATTATATATGAGATACTGGTAGGATACGTTTAACACGTCAATCTTGTTGTTCATTTTCTCACTGAAACGAAGTAGTGTCTTTTCCCCCTCTTTCCACGTGATCAAAACGGAATAGTCCATTATATATGAGGTATTGACAGGCGCGTAACGGTCGTATAAAATAACTAAGAAACTCACGAAGTGGCGGGTGGGGGGGACAAACGCAGATGTTATAGTAATTTTCAAATAGCTTAGATGTGGCAGTTTCGAAAATGGACGCAGGGGGAACAAACTTGTTCTAGTGAGACAATGTTTACATGAGATGCTCCAAAATTTCCAAACGCAGCTTAGATGTGGCCTGAGGACGAAATTGGGGGCACCCAGTGAGGATCGAACTCACAAGTCGTAATTGTTCTAGTGAGACAAGCTTGCTAACCATTACACTGCCTTGAGATGCTCAAAATGATTTTCTATTGCGCACTTAGATGTGGCAAAAGGCCGAAAGCATGGGCGCTCAGTGAAGGCGAACTCACTATAAAGAAGTAATGGTTCTAGCGAGACAAGCCTGCTAACATAACACCTACGTAGGGGTTCAGCAGCATTGTTATATGACCTTCTGCTTTCTTAGAGGTTGAAATCATTTTATTTTTTATTCCATTTTTTTTTACGCCTTCCCCCACCCCCAATGCATCATTGAGCCTCGTCTAATCCGATGACCCATCTCTTTAAACGAAAAGATCATAGTTCAATATTTGGCGCTTATACAATGTCTCTCAAATATTGATAAATTACTTGGCGCACCGGGCGTCAGTTGCGACGTTTTGAAAGGGAATTTATTATTGACGCTCTCGTCTTCGATGTAAGATTTACCTCAAGTTAAAATTACATGTGGGGGCAGCACAACAGTTATCGGTGCGAAATATCGAATCAGCATGCCGAGATCAAATCCCAGTCTAGTCAGTCTCGTTCACGTTGCACTAATGCCCTTAATAAAGGCATAAACCCATATTCCTCCTTCTGTAGATTAACTACTACAACATACTGTGTTCTCATGCCTCCAGCCTAGGAGAAGGAAAACAAGTTAAACCTCCGTACGTAAATCATACTGAGATCTTCAGCATTTGGTAACGTAACCGGTCTATATAAACGATAACTTTGAACTAAAAAAAAAAACCAGCCTGTCCCACCCCACTGTCGCTAAAGCTATGGTACATACCGAGTCTATGGGGTTACAAGACTCGTGATCGACAAATTATAAATTGATTCATTTGTTTTTTACGGTTTACCAACCTTTTGCAGGTTACTTTAAGCAAGAAAATATTTTTAGAGTGTAGGAATTTTTTGGAAATAATGACGATTCATAGATACATGCCTTACTAATTCATCCATAGCTAGAGGAGACGGGGTGGATTCATCAAGAGTGTTTACAAATAAGTTAATATAACTAACCAGACTGGAATTGGTATACGGCTATCCGATCTTCAATGCCGTTATCCATTACACCAGCCGCACATCCAAACTGGTATTCTCAAACGGTAACCCCTCTGACCAGGATCGATGTTGCTTAACTTCCGTGAGCAGAGTATAAAATTTAAAGTTATCACACTGATTAGGATGTTTGGAAAGTGATGTTACACGTTTGCATATTGAATTAAAAACAAAAACTTTCAAATACAGAAAGAGTTAAAATTTTTCAAAACTATCTTCATTCCAAGATTACAGCCTATATCACGTGACTGTTTTAAATGTTGGTAATATACTTTTTTTCGAGTAAGAATTGAACATGATTCTCATTGGAAAACGTGGCTCAGAAATGAAAAGGCGCTTTCAAATAGCGAAAGATGTCTTTCAAAATCTGAACAAAATATTAAGAAACGGGAAAATTTCGTTAAAATGTAAAACAGTGTTCAGTTATTTACTATCAATCCTCCTGCATGACAGGGGATGCTGGACATTTTCCTCGCATGTGAAAGGGAATCTTAAGGTAACAGAAATATCATTCTACAGAATGATGCTGAGAATGTCCTTGACAGAGTATGCGAAACGAAAACAAAAAGGACACTAATACTTGCAAAGAGACGCTTGAAATCTCTGGAACACAAAGAGGAAAGAAGGATTGGAGAATTTGACACTCACAGTATATATTGAAGTCAAGAGAGACATAAGAAAAAATAACCTATCGAACAAGCTTGTGTAAATAGATGGTAGAACAGATAACAATAGTAAGGAAACAAATATTGCTCAGAGCGGCAAAGGAAAGGAAGTTGTGAAGAACCGTGACCAATCTACATAATAATCTTCTGTAAATGGTTGTTAGAAGAGGGATGTTAAAAGGATAAGAAATAGCTTCTGAAGTTCAACGCCTCCAAAACAAAACTGATTTCATTTAATCACCACTGAGAACCTTTTCTGCGTATCATCAAGATGGTTGATGCTGAACTCCAAGAGAACGACATTCTACGCCTTCTTGGTGGTATGTTTTCCATTGGCACGAAGTGCAGCGACTATATCGTGTCAATTGCTATGTCAACTGCAACGAAAATTAGTTCACCGTGTCATGCCAAAATAGTTTGTTTTTTTTGTCAGAATCCATCTTGCATATTTATAAATCTACCGTTCGTCCGTACATTGGATACGTTTACCATATCCGCTCTGTTGCTCCAATTGTGCATCTTGATGTTCTGAACAAAATCCAGAGAAGGGTCTGCAATACAATCGGTCCTCACCAGGCATCTCGTCTCCAGTCACTTTCTTACCGATGTGACCTAGCTAATTTCTACAAATATTTTCATGGTAACTGCTCGAATGAACTTTTTTTTCCTGGTGTCTAGACTACAGGAATTTAAGCGTCCTAATAGACTGGTAATTAAGTCTCACTGTTATACCGTTGAACTAATTAGATGAAAACGCCGCACCTACTCTAACCATTTTTTTTTTTTCTCACACTTCCTATCTGGGAAACTCTCTCCCGATCTCTTGCTTCCCTGATAACTATAACCTTCAAAAATTTAAATGCAAAGTCAATCACCATCTTTTTGAACTGTCACTTTTTTGTCCTTCCCTCAGTCCTCTCCATTTTCAATATTTTCATTCTCCTTCACTTTCAATCCCTGTAACACCCCACCCGCGTTCTCGTGGCAATTTCGCCTGCGTGGGGGTGAAACAATTTTAAAAAAAGCTTTCTTAATCTCCAGAGGATAAGTTATCGATCGCCAATGTTTTAAGGGGATACAGCACATAGAAGAAAATATACTCTTGACATTGTGGGTAATATCAGATTTTGTCAATTTTTGTTCAGTCATATTTCATCTCTTTTATGAAATGCTCACAAATTTAATTGAAATTTAAACATTTGTAAAGATAGCTGACTCAATACGCAATTGACTGAGTTGGCGAGTGATAAACATTCGCTGTAAAGTAACACTTTTTTCATTATTTTCTCAAGTATCATGTCCGCTGAGGACGTCGGCAATCATGGTTCTTAATACCTTCTTTTTTTAATATCTCTAAAGTGAGCACTACATTGATTGACCTTCAGAGAGGTGATGGAGTTAGTTTCTCCAATGATTTGTAAATCTTCTGGACTGGTTGCCACCCTAGGTTAGAGAACTAAATTTGCTTTGCTAATTAGCAGATTCACAACTTTCCTGTTCAGCTAGCCACTTATCAATCCATCCCATCCTGTTCATCTAGCCAGACATCCCATCCTGTTCAACTAGACATCCATCCCATCCTGTTCAGCTAGCCATCCATCCCATCCATCCAGGCCTGTTCAGCTATTCATCTAGCCATGGAAATATTTCTTTGTGAAATTTTGACATTTTAGGGTGGAAAACAATGTGGCACCTTGCATTATTAGAAATATTCATAGAAATATGATTTAATTTTTTCTTACTCGGTTTACTAAACAGGTTGTTGATTTTTTTTAAAACGGAAAATAATTGAGTTGAAAATAATTCACTAAGATTGTACTTAGACGATCCTAAGGGGAAGAAGGAAGAAAAGAAAAAAGCAAAAGAGAGAGGTCGAGAAATACAAAAAAGCGGTCATTAACAAAAACACGAGTCAGAAAGATATCTTGGCCTGCGTGTGGCCGAATTTTTTAAAGACAATTGGAAGAATAGAATTAGAAATAATAAGAAGAAAGAAAGGAAAAGACATGATATCAAAACAGGCCGCTTGATGAAAACCAGATATCGGTCAAAACATCTGACCTACTTTTGCGTAGAAAGACTCATTATCAATTTGGAGTAAAAGGATTTTTTTTTTAGAACAATAGAAACGAAATCTTAATCAGAGAAAAGGTGTTTTTGGGTTGAGGGGGTGAC